TTCAACTTATAATGTTATTCTGAACCTATTTCAAATTTTTATAAAAAAAACCTTTAGGTGAAGTGTTACATATAAATCTCTATAAAAATCATGATTATGATGCTATAATATTTTGAGCTGATACAGAGTACTATGGGTAAGCATCTTTCAATTATGATGTGATATGATCTTGCAAAATTAAGTTCACAGTCTTCCCAAAAAAATATCTTCTATTTCAATATCACAGAGCCTTTGTTGCATATGACTTCAATATACAGGTACTCATTTCAGTTGTTAACTATTTGTGATATTACTTAACAACCAAACTTCACAAAAATACGTTCCCATCAATTATTCTTATTAAATTTCCCAGCTTTCTTGACGGTTGCTACTTGTGATTCAAAAAAGTTCGGTGGCGCCCACTTCAATGTTAATTTGAATTTAATGAAAATAATATTTCAACGAACCCATAGTGCTCTCCGGCCAAAAGCTGTTGTTGAAGTCCAGATTTACTTCACTTTTCCAAACCTACTGATTCATTCCCGCTGATTGTCGTACTTGTTCTTATCCAACTCGAACGCAATGGCCTCTTGATTTCACTGACGTAGTACTTGATGGACTCGTATAGTATTCAGTTAGTGCAGCTGTTAGAATCATTTCTAGAAAGGTAAGAGACTATTCAAGATACTAATCACGAGAAAAGCACCTAGCGACCAGAAAACAGCAAGTTTGAAATAGAGGAGAATGCGTGGATCTACATATGCATCAAAGGCACGACGGTGATGTTCTTTCAAAGAAAAAAACCCTGGTTCAAAATAAAATGTATAGAAGTTGACAATGCATGATGTCCATACTTCATGGAGATTGAAGCAGGAGAACAGGCTTAAGTATGTCGAACTGGAAAACCAAGCAATAAGAGAACAGAAAGACGAAAGAGTATCTAATTAACGACTGTGGACTCTAGCAATCTTGACCATTGCTGATTTTTGTTTTGTATTTCGAAATCTTATTGAACTTTTCGATTAACTACCAGATCACAAGTCACCTTCATTTAGAAGGTGTATAACAATCTCACTATTATACACTTTCAAATGTTTGTTGAAACGATCGTGTCGATACTAAATACAATGTACTTTAATGACAAAGTAATCATCTCAGAATAATTTATTTTAGTAAAAAAATACTTAGATTGATTCTGACAAATTGACGAAATCTACCATTTATTTAACTTGGAAAACAATCCATTTAATTACTTTCAATACTAAAAACTGAACTTGCTATCTGGCATGTTGTAATCTGTTTCTGAATTTGCATGTGATGTGAGTACTTATTTATTGAACGTATAATAAGCTGTTTCCGCGAAGCAATGATGAATATAAAATGATGACTATACAATATCTTTGAGTTTGTTAAATATCCTTTCTATCAAAATATTTTCCTTTATGTTGAAAACCGGATGCTGTCATTCGGCTCATAGGACCGAGAATTGTTTATTCTTAAACTCAATCTGTCAAAACACAACTGAATCCCTAATTCAAATTGCTTGACAACGTTGTTTTTGGCTATCACTAGAAGTAGAATCACTATCAGTAGAATAAATATGAAGAACCAAATCTTATCTATAGTAATCTGCAGTATCAAAACACTTCATCCATGAATTCCTGACGCATATTGCTTCAATTTCATTTCTATTTACTTGTCTAACTCAATTGCATTACAATAACAACAAACTTGGCATCATAATCACTATTTAAGAACGTGTAGGATGTTGATACCTCCTAACAGCTCTAATTATTTTTTCGTTTCATATCATTTTATTTATATTTTACTGATTGTTAGGAACACTTTTTTTTTCTAGTTCCGGATATTATTTTCTTTCCATTCCATTTCACAAAAAATCAACATATCAATTGAAGTAATTTTTAATCATCAGGTATATACGAAGTCTACGTGGAGGATTTCATGATCACCAAAATGAAATATCTCTATCTTGGCATGAGCTATGCAGAACTCAAAGAACTCCTTACTTCCAACCCCAAAATAAACGTTTTCCCTCTTGTGGAACACTCACAAACAATGACCCTCTTGGGTTCAATTCCAAAGACCGAATTGATCATTTTATTGGACAAGAAAATTGGAACCGTTAAGCGAAGGCAGTTTCTACCAAGTCCCATGGTCGATAGAAGTAATGACTCTCTAGAAAACGTGGAAATGATTCAGTCGACGAGAAAACGATCTCATGTGCATATAGACGACTCAAGTGACTCAGAGAAGGAGGATGAGCAAGTGGGCACGAAAATGAAGACAATTGATGAAACTAAGGAACACACAATTGAGGTAAGGATATCTAGGACATCCTAGAAATAATAATTCGAGGTGTGCACTTATGAACATTCATTTCGGCTATTTGAGACAGTCACAGAAACAGTTATTTCAATCTCTCATGAAACGATCATGCTTCGGTTTCGAAATTATTTCGACGGAAGGGTCGTCCTTAATTATAACAGAGTCAGATTGAGAATATATTAGCTGAAACTTTTATTAGAATTGGTGTATGTGTATCAAAAAAAGGATTTGAAAAAGTATTTTCCTTTTTTGAGATTGCTCATATACTGTCAAGTACCAAAATTTCGCCAAGAGTTAGGTAATATTCATAGGTCAGTAAGAAGTGAACGGTTTATTGGGATGAACCTCCGATTGACCACAATCACTCAGACTATATAGTAGAAATAACTCACAGGAGGAATGTTGGGAGCATGTCTCTTTTGGAATCTCCAACCTTTCTTCGATGTTCCAGGCTATCAAGGTTGCACGTAATGTTTGTGTCTCCAATCAGGCGGATAGCTCTTTTCTAGATAGAATCCAGCACCTTCACGGTATTTTTGGAGGCAGAGCGCCATACATGAGAACAATACTTCAAGGAAGGTCTGATCTGAGCTTTATAAAGCATCAAAAGTTGCTGACGTGTGTACAGTTTTCTGGTTCGGAACAGTATTCTAAGCTTTTGAAAAGCAGCCTTTGCAATTCCAGCGACATGATTATGCCAGGATATATTGGTTTCCATTTTAACCCCCAACAAACTCTTCGAAGCAGAAAACGGAATTGTCTGACCTGACATTATTATATCCGGTTCAGAGACATTTATCTTCTTAGAGAAAACCGATGTCTGGGTTTGTGTGGCATTGAATTGAACCTAGTTACTTTCACTAGTTATTTTCACTTCTAGATCCTCATTAAGATATACAACCTCCTGCTGCCGGTGAAGATCTACCTCTAAAGTCGAAGTCCTGGAATCCAAATGGAATGACGAGACAAGTGTACTGTCGTCAGCAAAGCAATATATTAAATCCTTGGTTTTTTTCAATAAGTCGTTGATATACAATAAAAAGACGGTTGGAGACTATATGGATCCCTGGGGAACACCAGCGTTGATGGTGAAAGTATTCGAGAGATATCCATCGACGGCCACTTGCAGGGAACGGTCTTTCAGGAAGCTGATGAGCCATACAAAGAAATGATTCGACAAGCCATAGCACCGAAGTTTGGACATCAAATCCTAATGCCACACACGGTCAAAGACCTTAGAAATATCAAGCGCAAGAGGTTTTGATTCTCCATGTTTCTCGATTATGTTATTCCAAATATGTGTGACATACGATAGAAGGTCGCGTGTTGATATTTGTTTCCGAAAGCCATATTGATGTTCCCTCAAGATGTTGAAGCCTTCCAAATATTTGAGGATATGGTGGTTTACGACTTTCTCCATGATTTTTGATATCACTGATAGCAAAGCGACTGGTCTATAGTTATTTGGAAGATGTTTCTTGCCCTTTTCGAGAATAGGCTGAACGCGAGCAATCTTCCAACAAGAAGGAAAAACCCCTTTATTCTAAGACAGGTTGAAAAGTCTGCAAAACACTGGTGGGAGTTCTTTTGCGCACTTTTTAAGTGCGATGACGGGCACTTCATCAGGGCTATACACCTCGTTGATATTGAGCTGTTCCAAAATTTGCCTGACTAGATGCTGTCGAAAAGTAATTTCCGGCATTGTGGATTCTAGTGTGAGAATAGTGGGTGGTTCCTTTCCCAGAAAATCGACTGTGGAGTGGGACGCAAATTGTTCAGCTAGTAGATTTGCTTTTTCTATGGCTGTTGTTGCAGTTGAACCATCCGCTTGTGTTGGTGGTGGAATTGTGGATTTTGTAAAGATCTTATTAAGAGCTTTAGCTACCGACCAGAAGGATCTAGACCCGTTGGGATTGGCAAGCAGATATCTTTTCCAGTTATTCTATTCATTTTTTTTTCGACTAACTCCAATCATTATTGTGTTAATCTGTAGTTTTCGATTTGTTCTATTTTTTTTTTCGTGTACATGTATAGTTTCTTGAAACGATAGTTAATTTTCATTTTATCACTCATTTATTATACGACAAGTGACAGAAATGAGATTTCCAAATATAAATAACGACTTTAATTTATGCTTACACTCAATTGTTATTAGTTGATCCATTAACTTTTATTTCTGATGTAATGAGTACCTTTTTTGTGACAAAATTTAAAAAAGCTGTCATTTGAAATATTGAAAAGAACTTTTATTTCAGGAGAAACGAGAAGAAATTCTCAGAAAATGGAAACCAACAAAAAAAAGTATTCTTCCTCGTCTTATTATTCCAAAATCTCCACTGCCTGATAGGAAATCTACATTATCTTTGTCAAATCTCGAATCGGTAAGTACACTTCCGAAATATCATTCATACCAAAAAGTTTTTTTTTTCATGCGAATGAAAATCTTCAAATAATCACTGTCTTGAATTATATTCTGAATTTGACTTTGTCATAATTTTAGTTAAACCAGCGGTTCTGTTGAGACCTTGCCTCTGATTCACATACTTAGTTGTTTCATTTAAATCCCTTCGAAATCCGAACATGGTAATTCCCAAAGTGAAATTCCCCGTCTCCAATATTGAATCATCACTAAATGAAGTAACAAGAATGATTTTTACTGAAAACAACGATATAGCTTTCAGTATTCAGATAGCAAATTATTTTTTCAAATTTAATATTACCAAATGTTGTAGTTGAAAGAAATAGGTTGGGATAATATCGAAAACGAAATTTTTCGTTTCTACAGTATGAAATACAGCTAGCTCACGATTTTATATTGTAAAGATTATAATGAATGATGATCATATCATCATATATATATACCTCTAAATTTCTAGCACAGACAATCAATTCCATCGATATCCCAATCATTGGAATTTCAGAATTTCTTATCTTCTATGAGAGACGGTAGAATAAAAAAAAGTACTTTCGTAACTGAACTGAATTTTCTGAGTCAAGATTTTTTTTATTTCATATAAAATGAGCATTTTTCAAATGTGAAACAGACAGATCATTAGTCATAAAACTAGTAGATGACTCCCACTTGAATGGAACAATAATAATTATTGTTACGAAAATATTATCAATGAAGAAATATACTCCTGAGAACATATGTGTTACATAGGTATTCATTTTTTACTCACCTGTTCTCCCTCAAAATGGGTACTTCCATCACAGCCTGGCAAAATGTGAATTTCTCACGAATGAATTGAATAAAAGTGTAAGAATGTTCCTATGACTTAACAGCCTCATCTTTAAAATCAATTCAAACCAAGCCGAGGTAAGCTAATTGTTGAAGAGTGCAGTGATGGACATGAAAGTGACATCGAGATTGATCGGGAATGCCGTATAGAGCTAAGGAAACTAGCGGAGGAATTGGTACAGAAATTGTTTGATTATATACTGGGTTCTAGGACACTCAGGTATTATAGGCAACGAAAAAGCTGATGAGTGTAACAGATACGTATCTCGAAGTCCATATATAGAACCTGAACTAGCTGTGGGCTACAGAACAGGACTGAGAAGTGACTCTATAAGAAACATGAAGGGGACTGAGAGAAAATTCAATCGAAAACACACAGGGAAAAACATTCGTAAAGGGACTGTAAGAGAGTGAAACTGATGAAATGCTGCTACAAAGCAGGTATCTGCTCAGATCAATTGGAGGCCCACTCACTGGACACTGTCCATTAAAAGAACACCCTGAACAAAATAGAAACGGATACCTCAGTTGCAGGCAATGCAATAAAGAGACAGAGATAGCTCGTCATATTTTATGCTAATGTGAGGCGTTGGATCCTAGAAAGCAGAGAATTTATGAATAACCAAAATTATGTCCAGAAGAATATGATACACATCCAGCAAAGGACCTGTACAAACTAGTGCAGGGAACAATATTGTTGGAATGATGTCATGAAAAAGATGGGGGAAACGTAACAAACCAATGAAGCTACAGTGTTCTCCGGAAACTTGAGAAAAATAGACAAGTCAGACGGCCACAAGTAATAAAAATAAAATCCATAATAATCATGTCTGTGTACTAGGTACTAGGTGTTCCTACTAGGTATATTTTCAAGTATAAAATTCGTTTTGTTATATCTTCAATACAAAACAGATAGTGCAATAATTTTCATTGGAAGATAGTTTGACAACCTAGACGTACCTTGAAAAAGGGCGATTTGCTGAAATTACGACTCGAAAATTCAATAAATCAATGAATTGATGCAGTCAGGATCGACATAAAATAAAAAACATGAATGAGCAAATCTTTCAAGTCGCTGATGCAGTAGTAGGCAGTGATAGGACATCATTCAAGATGTCTGAAACTCTGGAGTTTGTACATCTGGCACGTATTTAATTCTAAAAAAGAAAAGAATGCATCCTTATGAGATGCATAACATGTACATAAATTAAGAAGGTGGTAGACCTACAGAACTCTATGAAATTATGATTCAGTTAATGATTTATGATAATACTATTTATTGTATGTGCTTTTTGACGAATCTTTATTTTCGAAGGTTTGGCCTGTAATTCCACGAAACCACATTGTAAGTACACATTTCCTTAATGGTAACCTCAACCGACAAAAATATCTTCAACTTTTTGATACAAATATGAATGCTATGATCCCGTAGCAAGTTGAAGATCTCACCTTTCAATAAGATGGAGCTCTTTCACGGTGTGTTGTAACGTCAATTTTTACTTAAAATTTCCATATAAAGATATATGAGAAACTGAGGACCAATTCAATGACCCGCGAGATTTCTTGATTCATCACCATTATATAATTTTTTATGGTAAATTTACGAAGAACAATTGTTGATAAGATACATGTGGTGACTTCAGAAATGTTAAAGATGTCCGGGGATATTTCAAAAATCTATCACATTTTAAACCTTTCATATGATAACATTTCAGGTGAAAAAATACAAATCTTAATTGACATACATTGTTATTAAGTTTTTCACTACAATCAATTTTCAATTGCACTAGATGTGTTCGTCTGATTGAATTTCCTGCAATATGAAGTGGAGTTTGCTGGAAATGAAAAGGTTGATAGTGCAATAATGACGTCCTTGGTGGAAAAGCTTTACCTCGAAATAGAAAAATAAACAGTCTGAGCAAATATTTTCAGTGTTTTTCATTCCAACTGTGAATTGGAATATTGATGGAATGATATCGTTGGACCATAGTATTACACGCGAAATATATGGGAAAAGTCGTAAATGAGAATTTTATTAAATTCGAAAATCAAATGTACTAATAAGAATGTATTTTACCTTATCGGAAAAGTATGCCTTTCATATAAGAAAGTTACATAACATTAAAAGTCTATTCCTTCTTTTTTTTTCAGCCCAGTCTAAGAATATGCGATCTGCCTCTCAACGAACAGCAGGCTTGGGAAAGCGAACAGCTGAAAAGCCAAGTGGACTTCACGACGGCCAGAATTGATCCTGCCCCCTTCCAGCTAGTCGAACGCACATCACTGTTGAAAGTGCATTCTCTCTTCTCACTGTTAGCAATAAATTTTGCTTACGTAACTTCTATCGGAAAACTGGTTGGAGTTGTCGGCTTGAAAGAGTTGAGGCAAGCCATCGAAGATGCGAATAGTGGAAACCCTCCGAAGAGGGCGAACCAGACTCCGAGGAGTCCTTTGACTCCTAATACTCCTATTCCTCAGGTTACAATTCAAATAACACCAGAACCCGAAAAAGCTCCTTAAATATCTGCGATTTTTTTGCAGTTGTTTATCTGAAAAGGCGGTTTCGGATTTTGGGAGATATTTGAAATAGATAATCGAAACAACTTGCTAGGAAGTTGATTAGATAAATTTTGTTGATAAACAAATTAGGCTATCCAATCTTCCACAAATATTGAATAGGATTAGGCTTTCCCATTGCAAAACACAGTAATTTCATAAAGAAAAATGAGTTTTCAATTTAAATTGGGTTTCAATATAAATTTCAAGAGTCGTTCAAGCAATTGAGACATTATTTTTGAGGACTGAATTTGATTAAATATACTGATTACATTTATTATGATTTCCACTACAAAAGTTCACAGAACCGCGACATGTGTTTTGCTATACGATAGCTTCCTTTTTAAGATTGAAACATTCGATATTGTGAATCTACGGTCCGATGGTATAATTAATTCCAATCTAGTTTTAACTACCTGGAAGAGTAGATAGTATCATTTGATCAACTAGTAAGAAGGTAGAAATACTCACATATCCGTTTCATCACAGAGTAGCAGCATTCAACAAAATGATTCACAGACTAGTGAATGTTTGTTTGTCGGATGTGAATTTCAGTAATGAACTGAATCTAATAAATCAGATTGCGATAAACAATGGTTTTGATAGCAATTTAATAGATTATTTACTTCCTAAAAAACTATACATTCAAGCCATAAATGAAATTCACCTGATTCCAAGAGACGAGGAGAAAAATTATAGAACGTCAACAACTCGTTTGAAGATTTCTATTTCTTTTAAAAATACAGCGTTGAAAACCAATAATAACTCGCATATGTCAAACAATTAAATTGAGCTGAATAACTTCTCGTTACTAAATATGTTCTTACCCAAACCAAACCAACCCAAACCAGAAATCTATATTCCCTATTGAGATCATAATACTAAAGAAAATCTGTTGGCACTATGTACAATACAAAATCATTCTCCCACATGTGGGAGTCAGTGGGGAAAATAAAAGGGATAGGTGTGATGGGAGAGTGGCAGCAGGATGACTGTACTTTTGAGCCCAGAAAAACAAAAGAATGTACACCATCACACAGTCCTACAATAGGGATTTTGCATAAAAATGTAATTATGAAAATTATATTGAAAATCAAAAGATATCATTGTAATGAAGTCTTCATTACAAAAAAAATATTTTTCAAATGATATTCGTTCTACAGAAACAATTAAAGTTTACTAAAAATTTAAATTTCGTCACGTGACCAAAAACGCCCAGCCATTGGGTGTGACGTCATACTGTATTTTGCCAGTGGCCATTTGATTCATGTTGAACTGTTTGCGTTTACTGGTTCGAAGTTTCTGTTGTTTATTGTGACATTTTTGTCCAAATCTGTGGTTTTCACTATATTCAGTTAATTTTACACAGTATTATTAAGTGTGTAAATTTGAACAAACATGACTGACGACCGATTTACAAAAGATCAATCCGATAATTTGCCAGTTGTTGGTATGTTCACGGTAGCGAAATTCATTAAAGAAGCTGAACATTTTTCTCTCGGTGAAGTACGTGGAGTTAAAATAGACAAGCAAGTACAATTATTATTTGTTGTAAGTTTAATCACTATGTATACATTCTATGTACCTCTGTAATTAAAAATTAATATATCAGGTAAGAGTAATTCGGATATCTTTCATGAGCTTAGTTCGTGGAAAAATTGAAAAATTGAACTAAGCTCATGAAAGATATCCAATGGGTCATAGATCAGTCCGTGTTTACGGGGCTGAACTTGCGCCGCGCCGTGACGCGGCAGAAAGAACTGGGATAGCCTCCTGATATGATTAGTGAATGTCTCAACTCAGGCCAGATTTAACAGATCATTCAATGAAATGGATTTGTCACTATTCGTGCAAATACGGAACACTTTATTCTGCATCCTTTCGCGTCTCTGGAAAAAAGTTCTCTTGAGACTGCAGAATACAGGACAGGCGTACAACATAGCTGGACGTATTACTTGTTCGTAAATAAGCAACTTGTTGTCAATACTGAGCTTGGAGTTTCCTGCAATGAGCGGATACGTGCGTTTTATCACCGCAGTCACTCGTTGGATCGCCAGAATCAGATGTTCCAGAAATTCAGGAACCTATCCTTGGATAACCCCCAGATATCGCGCGATTTTCTGCTCAGCAACGCTCACGCCTTCGATTCATAACTTGCCAAAGATTACGTTGGTAAATTTCTTCCAAAGGTTGACGAGCTCAGTTTTCGATGTGTTCATCTCAATTTCGTTCCTGTCAAAGTACGACATAACCATCCTGTCGAGGTGGATCTACAGTTGTTGCTTAGACACCTCGCTCGAGAACGAATGCGCGTAGTTGGCCATATCGTTCTTATAGATACCCACATTGGTTCACGGAAAGATGGAAAGTCGTGCGTGAACAATAAAAACAAGTGCGGTGGTAGGCAGCACCCATATTTTCTTACCAGATAATCATGCTTAGTCGCCCTAGAATAACTAATAATTAATGTTTTTCACAAAATTTTGTATTCACCTGTTTCTACTAGTGTTTCAAACTAAAAGCAATTTTTTAATGCCTGCTTGAGAAAGCTATTGTATAGCGAAACACGTGTGGCGGTTTTATGATCCTTCTATGGTGAAAATGTAAATGAATCTCGTTAATGAGTTTTAATATGTATCATGTATCGACCAGTTCTATTTGATAAATTAAACCTATTTGTGTAGAGAATATTGAGGGACACGCTCTCTCAGAGGGCAGCAATGACATTACCAATCTGCAGACCACGGCTACTGAACCCGGAAACATCGGACAATCTTCAGGAGAAGTTATTTTGTGCTGAAAAAACCTTTTGGCTTTTTACTTCTCCATCATCATACAGATGTTTCTCAACATCTAAAAAATAAGCACTTTCATAATCCCTTTTGTGATTCAAGCATTCATAATAGAATTAAAACATTTGTTAGAAACAAGAATACTTACACAACGTAACATATGGAAAATGAGAAAATTCAATACATTTATCAGACCTGGATCATTCAAAAATATCAGTAAGTTTTTTATGAAAAATAAATAGTTCAGGATACTCTTGAGGAACAAAAAATTAAATAAAATTGAATATGTGTTCAAACTGAGCAGCTTAGTCGTAGTATAATGAAAAAATATATAAGTGATGATGATACTACTATCCGCTTCAGCATTTCCCTAAAAGCACTCGTTCCTAAATCTTTTCAGATTCTGTGTAAACTTTCTTTCAAAAGTTGAGCACTAACGTTTTCACCTGAAACTCTAGGAAGTCCACCTGCAGAATGAACTTATTTTTATGTAAGTTAAATTTTAAATGAATACTCTTCCATATTTGATAGTTTGTACTGGAAAATCTGGCGTAGAATGAATGTATTGAAAACACTTTCCCAACAACACAACAAAAATTACGGTGTCTCAACGAGCGTTTCCGCTAACCAAGTGAACGTTATTGATCCTATGCTAAAGTACCTGTTTTCAATACCACTGAATTGTTATGTATTTCCTCTATGTTAATAATCATCTCTAATATTTATCAGTTTTTTATTTATAATTATTACATATAAGACCAAACAAAGGGCTGTTCTAAATAGGATTATTGTCGCTGTTCATGGAACTCACTCAGCAATTTTCGATTTCCAAGCTTTCGATGGCATCCAACAACCCGTTGTCATATAATGGTCTCAATAATTTCGAATATTTCTCACTTATTTTATGGCCGTTCTCTATGACATTCTGAGCCATACTAGATTTCTCCGGTCTATGAAACTGAACATGCGAAACATATTCCTTGTAGCGAGGGTAATATAGTCCGTTTGGTTTGACCAACATATTTTTTCATCACAATCCTCGCAGCTCATTTCATGGCTGAAAGCAGCGGGTATCCATCAAATATAATGGATACATTGATTAGAAAAAAAAAACAAGGATTATCTTCGTAATGCCTCGACTTTTCGAAAAGAGCAAGATTCTAAATTCATAGTGCTTTCATATGAACCCAAATATACCAATGGGTTGGTCCGAACATTCAAAAAATTCAATATAACACTGGCTTTCAAAACTGCATGTACACTTCAACAAGTGTTGTTCAGTCCGAAAGAAAAGATGGAAAAAGAAAAGTCTGGGCTTACGAAATAAACTGTGAGGATTGTGATAACGAATATGTTGGTCAAACCAAACGGACTATATTAGCTCGCTACAAGGAACATGTTTCGCATGTTCGGTTCCATAAACCAGAGAAATCTTTTGTCCCTCAACATGCCATAGAGAATGGCCATAGAATAATTTGGAATTCCTTATTTTATTGAAAAAAAAATTTTAATGTTCCTGAACTATTTATTTTTCCTAAAAAACTTAGTGATATGTTTTGAAGAATCCAATGAGCAGGTCTGATAAAGGTATTGAATTTTTTTATTTTTCATAGTTTCTGATATGTTAAAAAGAAAAATTATGTTATTTTTTGCTTCCACATTTTTTTTTACCACTTGCCTAATGAGGGAATCATAATAATCATTTTCATGAATATTTTAAGATGAATATAGAGGTACTTGACAAGTTATTCTAATATCGAGAGCAAATGAATTTCTGGAAAAGAAAATTTTTGGCTTTCTACAACTCCATCTTGATACAAAAAAAGGGATGAGGGAATCTTCTAAAGAAAGGAAGGAAGTAGAAATACTTTTATATGAACACTGAATTATACAGAAGATACTCAGTTTGTATTCCAATTATTCTTTCCCAAAAATTAATCACTCCTAAATATATCACCTTTAATTCAAATGAATTTCAAACCTACAAAATATTCGATATTCATAGTTTTGGAAATCAAGCAAACAGATTAGCTTTCATGGTTTTTCTTTGAAGTTTCTGACACATTTTATATAGAAATAAAAATAGAAAATATGTAATAAATGTTCTTGTTCACTTCTTTTGAAACAAATAATTTCCATTTTGACTCAAAAACATTCCAAATCAAAACGAACTCAATCACTAACAAGTAGGAATGTCTTTTTGTCGTTAGATAATGGAAAAGTCACTTACCCACTACAAAAAATGAGAAAGACAGATTGCAGATTTGAACACAAAACTTAATTTTTTGATAACTTACTTTGAACATCACATTCAACTAAGAGTCTAACCCTAACCCAATGAAATAAAAAATAGATAGTCTCGTGACTGTAAGCTCTACAAAAGTTGAAGTATTATACATAATGAATCTTGAATGAAATATATTATTAATTTCCATCCTTCAAGAAATGAACAGTGTTTTTTTGTGATTTATGCAATGAGAAATCTGTGCAAATGTAAACTTGATTGAGAGCAGAACAATTGGACCTTACCTATACATATTTGACTATGAGAATATGTTTCTTTCATATGGCTGGTCCTAACTAAATGCGTTCGATGTGGCGATTTTAAAGGTGTTTTCCAAAATAATAATAATAATAACAAAGCATTGATAATTACAACTTCATTTATAAAATACTCACGAATTCAAATAGGGAAAATAATAAATTTATCTTGCGATAAAAAACCCTCTGAGGGATTCTACGAGTATGTCTTTGATAGTTTTCATTTGCAGTTATACAATCTCTTTGGAGGATTGTACAATTTCTGTAAGTTATTGAAAATCTTGCAAAAATATTCTGTTTATGTTATTTTTTTCATTTGAAAACAACCAGATATATGGGTATAAAATATGAGTATAAAACATTTTTTCCATTAACCAGCTATTGTCCCTATTAAACTTTAACCCTCAAAAGTCGACACTTGTACCGGAAAGACAACTGTACAAAAGTATGAGGTTTCTCTCTGAAAAGCA